CCATTCTAGGTTAAGAACCTGCTCTTCTTAATTGTTTTATAGACTTCACTTACACTCTCCCTTGTGTCTTTAAATACGGCAAAGCCCCCAGGATCCCATAGCTTTGCTTCTTTTCTTGCCTCCTATTTTCTTCACTTTTCCCCTTCTTTGTCTTCATTAGTTATCACTCTCTCCCTACCCAATGACTGTCTGCTACCAAGAGGAAAAGAGGATTGCTTTTTTCAAGCCCTGCACCTGTGTGTGTGTGTGTGTGTTGTACCCTTACCCAAAATAAGACACAGATCCACCATGGCCCCTCAATTGGATGTACAGATACACAGAAAGATAGGTGATCTGGTAAAAGAGAGTAAACAGATAGGAAATGGGCAACATGGACCATAAATAAAGTGACCACAGACCCTGATATTCAGTTTATTTTGAAGATTATCTTAAAAGTAGCTTTGTCAAAAGTCATATATCAAAATCTCTGGTCATCTTTTCCTTTTTTAGATTTTGTTTTAGATGTTGGGCACTTGGTCATGGAAATCTTTAATTTAAAAGTATCCTGAATATCAGATTGAATGCCTTTCTTGCTATCTTGTTTGTCTTGTTGTCTTTCCATTTTCTGTTTCTGTTGATCAGACAAAGACACTTATCTTTTTCTCTCTATCCTGGGACCTAACACACTGTTTGGTGTTCAGTATTGTTCAAAGGATGGGGGCGTGAGTGGGTAGATGGATAAATGATTTTAAAGAAGCCCTCCTATTTTAGCAGATTTTAATCTTAATTGGAATGGTAAATCTGACTTTGTTTTAGGTTACTGAGAGTGCCATATCCTTCATTTTTAGTACTAGAACCATAAATTCATCAGCCATGGCAATTGGAATTCTCTTGCTTTCCTAGGTATAAGATTGTAGATTAAAATTGAACTTACTTGAAATAAAACAGCATAGGATTTTTTTTTATTTCTTAGAACCAAAACAGCTACTAAAGCTGATTATGAGGAAACAGCATCTCTTCGAACCTCATCATTAGGGTAGTGGTTTTCTAACTGTCTTCCCAGGGAAGACTTAACTTGGTGAACTGACCTAAGTTTTCTCATTTATGGGGAAAAAATAATGAATAATTTCTCTCATTTTTAAGCTTTTCTGCCCATTCATTTTTCATAAATCTTGGTATCAGCTTGTTATCTTTTACCATAATTGGGTATCATTTAGTTTCTAATTTAGTATAAAACTTGGATATTTAGGTACCAAGTAGAATAAGTTAGTATTAACAGGGACTTTGTACCAAAAAACATTTATAAGCTATTGCATTAAAACATTATTTCCCTTGCCTAGGGGCTAGAGTGAGGGACGGATGGGAAGTGACTACTTAGAGGTTTCCCTTTGGGGTAATGAAAATGTTTTGAAACTGGATCCAGGTAATAATGGTTATACAAGATTGTGAATGTACTAAATGCCACTAAATTATATACTTTAACATGGTTAATTTTATGTTATGTGAATTTTATTTTAATTAAACTATTTCCTAACATTTTAAATTCCATGCCATAACTGTGAATTGTCAAAATGTATGCTGTAGCTCAAAAAATAATGTCTTTATGTAGCTAGTATGGTTGTGTAATTATTCCTTCAAATCGCTACATTTATTAAAGTGAAAATGAACACTCACTGGTTAAATGCTGGAATAACAAGAATAAACCTGGGTTATCCTGGGCAGACTGGAAGAACAGCCGCATCACCTAAAGCTTAACACCAGATGTTTATGTGTACAGGCTCACCACCACTCCTAGCTGTCTGTCTACATCATTAGATCTAGTATCATTTTAAGATTATTTCTTAAGACTCATATACAGAACTTGATTCTTTAAAGAAAGCTATTCTGTAAACAGTTGACAGAAACTTTCAACATGCAGGTAAAAAGCCTATTTCAAACTTTTAAAAAGTAACAAAGCAAAATAAAATTGGTTACAAAGCAAAATAAAATTGAATAAAGACATTCTTCTTTTTAATAAAACTAATGAGCCTTTAAACAGATGGTTGTTAAATCCTGTTTCCACTAGTGTTTGAATAGATCTTATCTGCATTGGCTTGTAAACAATCGGGTCGATTGTTCTGTGCATGCAGTGTGGGTGCATACACATAGACACACAGACTACAGTCATATTATTTTTTTCTCTGGCACCATCACCCTCAGTTCTTGTCTTTTGTCAGAGTAGTTTGGGAAATTGATGTTAATGAACAATGAAAATAGATCTTATTAATATACTTATTCTACAAAGTTTTGGCCAATACCTTTCTCCCAGATATCTTTAGTTCTCAGACATGTTCTAATTTTAGCAGATAGAGCTTTTATTATGTATCACAACATTTCCATGGGCTTTCTCTGTAGTTCATTGATTTAGTTTCAGATGTAGGTTTATCACATCTTTTTCTGTTATACCAGTGTTTTTTACTGTGGTATCTTATGTTCATTGTTACCAATAAAGTAGTTTCATATACAAAGTTAAGAGTGAGTTTTAACATATGTGTCTTCTTTTCTCTAGAACTGTCAAGTAATCCACCTCTAGCTACTATTCTTATTCCTCCTCATGCTCGGATTCAAGCAGCTGCTTCAACTCCTACAAATGCCACAGCAGCCTCAGGTGAGAACGCATAACTCTTCTATAAATATACATATTTATAGAAGAGTATATAAAATATATATATTATAAAATATATATATATTTTTTTAAAAGACATGATTACCTGTATTTTATTTCATTTGATAACATGTGAACATATAATACCTTCCAAGTGTCAAAAACAGCACAGCCAAATTAATAAATGTGACTAAAATATTGCTTTATTTTCAAAAAGCACAAAAGGACCCCATAAATACTTTTTCTGTAAGATGTAAGTATCTTCAGAATAACAGAGTAATGTTATTCTGTCCCATTGTTATTTTAAAAGTCATGCTTTCCTTATAAATTCTTGATTATATATATCAAATGAGATGCCAATAGCAGAGAGCAGTCTTTACAAACTTTATTGAAAGTAATTCACTTTAGTTTCATCACCCTGAATGTAAATTATATTAGTATACTGGAGGCAGATTGTTAAGAAGTATAAAATACAGATTGGAGAATTTAATCATTCGACAGAGCTAAAACTGCAGTGCAAATACATTTAACTAAGATTTAGATTAGAATGTGATTAGGCCTTTTTATCAAAAACAAAAAGCCCACATGGTCTCCCAGGGTAGAGCTCCATGTACTATTGGTCCCTTAGCCAGCTAATGAGGGGGCCTGATTTAGTGCAAATCACTGTCATTACAGATATTCTGAAAATACCCAGTCCTTGAGTATGAATTGAAAGTCCTCTGAAAGAAAGGCTGGATGCTATTTAAAGTGAAGTTAGAAATATAATAGGTAGCAGAATCAGGCTCAGAATTTGGTACCTTTTTTTTTTCCCTTACAAAAATCAGATGTCAGGAGCTGACTTCATTAAATCATCTATTACATTGAACTAAATTGAATCAGACCCATTTTTGCCTAAGGGCATTTATGCTGCAGGAGATAAAATCTTTCATTATTAGTTCCTAGCTTTCAGCAGTAAGGTCAAAATCCATCTGTTGTCTGACACAGACTTGTTTGTTCCTATCCAATCTTAATCCTTTAGAGCATTGCTAATAAAGATGAAAAACATTTCATTCTAGTCCATGTCCTACCCTCATTCCAAAAGAAGTCTGAAAAGTCTCTTCTCTAGTTGTAATTCTATCAGAACATACTACCCTGAGAAAGTCATTTGAACTTTATTAGTTTCAGTATTGTCTTACTAGTTTTTTCATTTCTGTAAAATGAGTGACAGTGCTCTCCAACAGTAATTTTGTGAAAACCAAATGTGTACTGAAATGTGCTTTAAATTTTTCAAATGTAAAATATAGGATTTAAAAAAAAACTACGGCCTGTTTATTTAGAAGGAAGACAGAATGCTTAGACAAGCTGTTAATAAACTGAATAAACTACTGGTCCAGGTTGGATTACATTGGTTATTCAAAACTTGAAATGGCCCCTAACCCTGAACTAAATGCATTTATTTGTTGAGCTAATTTCCAAGAGTTTTATTGGAATTGCTTTAGACTGTGAATAAAAATGAGAAATATAATTTAAGTTGAGTAATTTTAAATGATTTTCTTAATGTGAGAAACTTAACTAGTTAAAGTAAACTAAGGTTTTTGGGCAATATGTCTGCCTAGTCGGAGACAAGGGTAATCTTATTTTTAATGTTGCTTTGATTCAGGTTATAGTAGTTACCAAAAAATATTTCATTGCTAGATATATATTCTTAAAGCTATTGAAGTCAGATTTCAACATAAGTATGGAAACTGGCATTGGACTGTGATCCTGAGAGTTTACTTCAAAGTTGAAGTCAATTAGGGTATGGGGAGTTTAGTAGAGAAATAGTTGGCTGAGAGCAGAGCTAAAATTAGTTTAGAGAAATGGATGCCTTGAGTATCTTAAATAGTTACCAGAAAAGATTTCAGATACTACTCTGAGCTTCCTAGTGGCTAAAGTAAATAAAGAAATGTTATCTGTTCAAATTGCCCATTGTTCATAAGAGAAAAAGCATGCTGGTGGCTTAGGAGAAGCAGTGTGTTTCTGGGCCTGCTGTTTTAGAAGTATTTCTACCTTAGGACCTCAGATTTGGTACCATAAGAGACATATAGTAAATGAAGTTCTCATTTCCACTCTCACAATAAATGTGATTAGTGAGTTTCATATGGATACTTGTTTAAGTACCCCTCAGTGTAAGCCAAAGGCATAACACCACAGTTTTCTTTGGGGCCAAAGTTAGTGAGAGCCCAGTATATCACCAAACGTACATCAGGAAATGCAATCTAGATGAATGGATTGACTATATGCCATTAGTGACTGCCTATATTTAAATAAATACATATGTACATGTGTTTATTTTTCAAGTAAGAATTTGGTGGTATGAATTATATTCTTTATTAAGACCTTAAACTATACATGCTCTCTTATCTCCCTTAGCTTCAGTTTCCTTATCCATAAAACAGGAACAGTGAATACCTACTGCATAGAGTTGTGAGAAGTAAGACAAATTGTACAAGAGTGCTTTAGCTAGCATGTGTTTAAGGTTCAGGTAGTGATTGCAGTTGAATTAAGATTCATTATAAACCATTACTGTGTGGATCAAGGGCCATTAGAGTTCATAGTGTTTAGTTCACTAATCCCACTTTAGTGATCTTGACTTCAGGATATATCTAACAGAAGGAAAAGAGCTACCAAGTACAGATATATGAATAGGAATAATTGTATAATAACAAAAAGGAGAGCCAATCTGATCTGAATGGTCAACAGTAGGAAATTGTTTCAATATGTTATGAATCTCCAGTTTTACGGCGATTAAGCCATATGTGGAAAAAAACTAAAAATCTTAAATACCATGTTGGTAACTGCCAAAATGTGTGTTTACATGTGCATAGGGGCTAAATAGAAATATATAACAATTAAACAGTTGTGTTAAATTAGTGGGTATGGATGTTGATTTTTTTTCCTCCCTCTCAAAAACTTTCACATTCTTTTAAAATTGTTGTCAAAATACCTCAGTATCTGGGAGCATTATAGTTGATCATGTCTCCCATGACATGTCAAACTCTTGAAAATTACATATATGCTACTATCAGTCCATAAAGTGTAATTTCCTAATTTGATATGCGTGTACATATATACACATGTATATATAATATGCGTGCATATATACATATATGTGTATATATGTATATAATGTGTATGTATTCTGATTTATCTAGACCATCTAGAGTAATAAATCTTGAGAAGTTATAGTTTTATTAATCAAATATGACCCCTTTTAGAGATCATCTGATCCAATGCCAGATGAGTTAAGTGTGAGGTGTGGTGGGGAATTTCAACTAGAGCAGTTTTCTCTATTTGTTTTGTACATCAGTCTTCTGGGTAAGGTTTCTTTCAATGCAAAAGTTCTTTTATTAAAACGTTTGAAAACCACTGATTTCAGTTCACCTCTCTTAATGTCTGCTGAGACATTCATTAATTGGAAGTTCATTACCACGAGAATGAGCTCATTCCATCTTTTTATCACTCCATTACAAAGTTGTTTTTCTCTTTTTTTTCACCCTGAAATTTGTCCCCCCTTCCTTCTTCCACACAGTGATTCTACTCTGGGGTTATATTGAACCAACACAATTTGTGCACAAACAAGCCCTTCAAATTCTAATAATGGCTAACATGCCCTCTATACTGAGGATTTTAAATCCTAATCCTGAATATGTTCCAGAATATCAGGGTGTTAAGTTATCTGTACAATTGTATACCATCTGCACATTTCATAAACATCAATTTTTTTGTCTATACTCAGGTGATTTATAAAATCTATCAAGCAGAACAAGGCAGAGCCTACTAGAGATTTTTTTTTTTTTTTGCCTTGTTTGAAATTACTGATAAAATAAGTTAAATGGGACCAGATAAGGTTTATTAGAGATTATTCTTATGGTGGTCTCTAAGTGATTGCTTACTCCTTTGTTGTTTGCTTAGCTACAGACCAACTTTACAGTACATATAATGTTATCAAAAACTATAAAATACTTTGTTTAAAACTTAAAATTTTTCAGATTTTTTTCTGTCAAAAAGGCATAACTATCAAAGATGAAAATAAAACTGTTTTTAAAACTTAAGGAAGTTTCTAATGCCTAAATATAAACAGTTTCTGTAATCCATGTTAGAAATTATTTCTTGGACTATAGATTCTGGGTTTAAAGACATTTAAATGCGTACATTGCCCTCACCTTCCTTGGGCTGCATTTTGTTTATTAGGATTTTTGTTATATCCTTTCCAGGTTGAAAACCCTTCTAACAGAAAAGGGAATCATGATAGGAGTTGGACAAGGTCTGTCTCCTCTGTCTTTTTACCTGGTCAGGGGGCTTAACTTTTCGTGATCTTACTTTGAAAACCTTTAGCTGTTACTTTATTTAAACCAAACCTGGCATGTTCTTACAGATTCACATTATTATTTTCTATTCTTCCTTGGATATGTGCCCTTCTGAAAGTTATGTATTTTTAATATGAGCTCATCAGAGAAAACCCTTTAGTTGGTTTCTTTGGTCATTTCCCCTCTGCTTTGCATTGAGAATATTTGCACTTGCTTGATCAGAATTTTTATAATTTTTGTTATCTTATCAGTTATTTAGCCCCTTTCGAAGACTCTAGCCACAAAGTCATACCTATTTATTCTCTGAACTTTGTGAAATCTATTCTGCTAAAGTCATGGTTCAGATTTAGCCAGAGCTTGTGGTCTCCCTTCCTTAACTATCAGTTATTTTTACCCCAGAATTCCTGTCACTTTCTACATCACCAGCCAGTTCTTTCTATTGGGCAGAATTAAAAAACATAATATATAGTTATTTTAGAAACAAATCTCCCATATTCTCATATCCATAGATAATCAAAGGTAACATTTTACATTTTAGACTACATATGAATGGACAGAGAGATGTGCTCTTTTTTTTAATGCGTTTATGCTATTTGGGGAGTGGGAGTATATGACTATATGCTATGGGAATATATGACTATATACTATTCAACTGGTATTCTAACTAAGTCTGTA